TCCGAAGGTCTGCTCACCGAAGTCGGGCCGCGGATAGAGCCCTGGGGGCTGGAAGTCAGCACCCTGTGCGCCGCCGCCGTAGTAGTCGGCTCCCTGCTCGCCTAGGTAGCCGCCCTGCAAATATTCCTCGCAGGGAGGGAACTTGGGGTCCACATACTTGGAGTTCACCATATACGAACTCATGGCCATTAATTTCAGAAGGTAGAAAATACTAATTTTTCTCGTGTTGTCTTTTTTTCTCCTTCCATAGGGCCCTCCTACTTGCTGTCAACTGAATAAAGTTGGCGGCCATGTGACCAGGCCAGCCAATAGGGAGGGAGCGAGTTTATCACCGGGTTGGTGAGCATCTCATAATTTTCACAAATTTAACTAAATAACATACGTGTAATCAAGTGACTCGCTGTGGCACATTCGAGGGCCCTCATGAGATGTTAATATACTTATAACCCTCAGCACCCTCATCGCCCCAAAAGTAATTCCAGCTTTTGTCTGCCACTGACTTTGCTAACCTCCAGTGCCCTCTCCACTCACCAACCCGCCAGAAAACAGCCCCCCAAAGTGGGCACAGCTCAAAGTGGACTGAATCCGAATATCCGTTGGAGTGTAGGCACCAAAAGGCAGGTGGGTGAGGCAGCTCAGAGTTGGGCAGAATACCCCAGCAGGCAGAGCTCCCGCCAGCCCGGCCGCGGGAATGGGGACTGCCATACAAAGGCTCAGTCCCGGCTTTGTCTTCCTCAGGGTCACCCAAAAGTTACTACAATCTGGCTGGCCTGAATCCATTTAGGCAATGAGTAACCGCCCAGCTTTCTGTGAGTGCCCGAGCTGGGGTAATTCTAGCCAAAGCCAGGCCTTGCAGGTATGGCAAGAGGTTCCCCCTGCCTCAGCCCGTGAAGCTGAGAGGTGTGCCAGGAAGATGGCGAGGGTACCCCTCCCCACCCAAATGGACCCCAAAAGGACTCTGCACTCCTTCTTTCCAGCGCGCCTCCTTCTCACAGGGCACTCAAAGGCCAGTGAGCCCCTCATGGGGCACCCTCCAACCTCATGCTCCTTGAGGGCCGAGCTGGGGCTACCTGGCCTCCCACTGCACTCCCCAGTCCTCCAAAACCTAGCCCTTTGGCTCCGAATTCCTGCAACCAATTAGGTGTTTACACAGGAGCCTCCGTATAAAGGTGAGGTGCTTCTTGAAGAAAAGGGTGCTCTGTGTCACCAGGCTCAGTCGATCCGCTGATGATCCTGGAGTCCAACGTAATAAAAGAGAAAGAGGTGGTTGACCCGCCCCGCTGTTTCTGGCCTCTCCTTCTGACTCAGGCTATTTTGGAGAAAAGTGAAGTTTTTGCATCGACCATATATTCCCCTAGAATCGAATCTGTGACTATGTGGATACCACACAAATTCGGTTCTACAGGGTATATATAGACAACGTTACTACGTTCAAGTTCCACCCAAACTGGGCACCCAGACCGCTGCTAGCCTTGGCCTCTTCCTCGGAGCCACCACCAGCCCGACACAGCCCCTGGCATTTTCAAAGATGGTTCAGGTAGCCTGAAGGGCTTGGTGGCAATTGGCAGCAATGAGTTCCCCACCCTTTCACTAGGGCGGGGGTTACCAAGCAGCCAGGGAGCCAGAACAGTCTTCTTAGGAAAGAAAAAATATTCATCCCAGAAATGGCGGTTTTATTATTCCTCTTTCTCCAAATCCAATATCCCTCCCCCCTTATCAAGTGGCATTTTCCAGAAAGGAGCAAATGCCCTCAGTGACAGAAGAAAGGCAAGAGGGGAATAGTCTCCATCCACTATTTTTTTCTCCTGCCTGGGCGAGCCAGGTTGGCTGACAAAGCTAGTTCTTCAAGAAGTCGCGCATTTACCTTCCTGGGCCCTGAGCCCGGCTGGCCTCTCCGTCCTGCTGCTGCTGCTGCAGACCCCGAGGCAGAAGCTGCTTGCAGGCACCAAGCTGCCCTGGGCTGGGGCCAATGCACTAATGGTGAAGGGCAGGGTGAGGGGTCATTCAAAATCATTTACAAACATATCACAAAGTTTCATTATTTTTGCTTTGCCGACAGCAGCACACAAGAGTACAAAAGTTCACGAATTGCGTGCCTGCCCCAGCGCTTCAGCACTGTCTGGGGCTCACCCCTCCATTCAGGGCACCAAGAGCACAGACGTGCCCAAGGCCCGGATGAATTTCGGGGGGCAGAGGGATGCTCAGGATTGAGTGGGGCTTTGGGATCCCTGACTGTAGGGCAGAGGCATTAAAATGTTTTTTGATTGTTTTGTTTTTCCACTCATGTTTCAAAAATTTGTTTTGGCCTGGTGGGGCGGAGCAGGGAGACTCCCCTCTGCCCCCGAGCCTGGCAAAATTGGCTGCCTGCTTCTACAATGCACTTTGCACACTCCCCCCACCCCAATCCGTTGGTTCCAGTGCTTTAGCGATTTTGTAGGGATTTCCTGGTGCCAATTCTAACAAGACCTCTGAGGCTGCCCCAAGCCTACGGCCCCTGGCCCAGGGAAATTCCCCCCAACTACCCCTAATGCCAAATGTTCCCCCACACTCCCCATCTTGGGGACACTGGGTCTAGGCTTTATCCAGGCAAATTGGGGGAGCCTGCTGGGTCGGGTGGGGAAACAGTGAGGGTACACATTTTCATATTTGTTAGACGCTGTGACCTGCATTTCACCTTATTGCTCGACTTGTTCAGACAGGTCAAAGCCAATGAGTTATTGATGAACAAAAGCGTTAAATATTCACCTCCCGCACCACTGCTCATACAAATGCTTTGATCTCCGTTTTTTGTGCTGTGTTTAGCGAGAGGGTGCCAAATGTGGGTTTTCAAGCGAGGAGCATCAGCAGAGATAAGCACCCCGAGAGCCAGGGCAACGGCAAGAAGGGGGCAAGACGAGAGGGTCCTGAGGATGCCAGACTTTCCAGCCTGGAGCCAGAGCCATTTCACTCGAGCCAGCGTGGTTGTACAGGGAAACTGTGTACTGGGTGAAATCTCCGCTTCTCCAGTTAGCGTAATCCCCAGGGAGGGAGCGGACTATGCTCCCCAGCCTGTAGGGCAAAGAAACCTGGCCCAGAGTCAAGTCCCAGCTTCTCGGACCCTGGAGAGAGGGTGACTCACCAGAGAGGGAGGGTGCCTGGTTTCTACAGCCCTGGCACATTCCATCTCTCATTAAAATAAAACCATCTCCATTTTGCAGTGAGGGAGGGGGCCACGTTTTTCCCCTTGACTCTTGAACCACTACCTTGATCCTTGAACCACTACCTTGATCTTAATGTGGCAGTCTTCCTGAAACTTCAGGGGCCTCCTCAGATATATACCTTTCTTCTGTGGCATATGCAACTCAGAAAGATCCAACTTCTGAGCCCAGGACCCCCAAAATCTATGCCCCCCACCTCCCTCCTCCCAGCCCCCCCCCCTCATTTTCCTGCAACACCAGTGGCTTTGGCGCAAAAATTTTCCAATTGCAGCTACAGAAAATCGGAGGTGGACCAGAAGGGCATATTCCTCCCTCCTTACTCAGCCCATGTCCCCAAACCAGACCCCAAACTGCTGAGTCTAGGGCCCGGGGAGGGCTGAGAAGGGACTTCCATCTAAAGCTCAGAATCCGCAGCCCTTCCCGGAAGCTTGCCCACTCAACACAGCCGAAGAGTGGGTTTTTGTTTGTTTGTTTCATCTCTTTTTCTTTCTTCTTTTTATAAAAAACAAGAGGCGGTTGGTCCCGGCGGGACCAGGTTAAGTTGGGCTGGGCTGCTGAGGCAGATCGCGTTGCCTGGGTATTTGGCAGGTTGGTTCTAGCAGAAGGCTATGCTAGCTGCAACTTAATAGGGCGGGCTGCTCATTAGCTTCCAGCTCTGAGCAGAAGCGTACTCCCGCCGGAGCTGCACCTGTGCGAGCCGGGAAGCCCCGGGAAGGCCAGGAGGTCCAGGGAGGCCCAAGAAGATGTGGGTGAAAGCCCGCGTGGCACGTTCCCTTAGTTAGGTAACTGTGAGCTAGGCCCCAAAAAAATCTTTCCAGGAGCTCAACTTAGAGCCTCCACCTCCAAAGCGAGCTCCCCTCCCCTCGGCAGGGCCGTCCTTCCACCTGCCCACTCCCCGGGCGCGGCCCTGGCCCACCACCTCCCCAGCCAGCAACACCGCCTCTGCGATTCGGAAAAAACGGGAAGGTACTCACAGCAGCGGTCTCTCCTGGTCCTGAACCTGTTGCAGTGAAAACGGGGGTCACTTAAATTCCACAGGACAATAAGGCAGACATCGATGATACACAGGAAAATGACAAGGCCCAGACACCCCACCTATACCCAGACCTCCCCGCTTCGGCTGCCCGCCCCCAGGAACTGCGCCAAGTTCTCCGCGGAGCGCAGACCGCAGTCCCCAAGGGCAGATCCACGGAGTAGGAGAGTATGGCCCACATCACCTCCCCCTTCCATGCACCCTTGGGCAAAACCTGACTGGTTGTTTGGCCTGACTCGGGCTGCTTGTAACAGGGTTTCCCCAGTGGGAACACGGGAAGCGAGGAGAAAATGGGCCTTTGTGTGTTTCCTTATGCAGAATAGGCTGGGTGGGCGCAGGTCCACTGGGGAGGGGGCAGTCGCTGCATCTGTCCCCCGCTTCCAGTCTGTCTGGTGCTGAGAGCAATTCAGCCCCCTTTTCCAGTTTCAGACTGGTTCTCAAACTCCCAAACTAGTACCCCCCCCAAAAAACTAGTATCCCCCAAACCTGTCTTCTCCTTCCCAAAGAAGGACCAGGCAATACTGGGACTTGCCTTCCCACTTATGCTCCAATTCAAAACAAAGAGCAATTTCCAAGGGAGATGAAGACCCAAATGATAACCCAGGAGGAGGAAAATCAATGGGTTTCAAAGTAAATGGCAATGCTTTAGATTGTTATCCAGCTCTACGGATGTGGCATCATTTTGTCAGCATTGCTGCTGGAGAAACCACAAAGCAATCTTACAAAGCAGTGGTCCTCACAGAGACTGGTGTCCAGCTTTTTAAGTTTTCAGTCTCCTCAAGTCCTATTCTAGGCTGGCAATCTCCTCTGAGAAATCTGAGCATCAAAGCCATCTCCATGCTCATCCTTTCCACCTAGACTACCACTGTCTTATTCCACTTCTAAAACAGATGCTCTACATAGAGAAGAGAGAGACAGTGAGACCCTCTTGTGAAGTGGGAACTCTCCATTCCCAACTTTCTGTGTCCAGAGGGAGGGGAGAAAACAGGGATTACCCTTCTATTTGTTATTTTAGGTTTAGGCTAAAATTAGAAATTACTTTAATGGGACTTCTTCCCACCCCAGGTGGAAAAGAGAGGCCGAGAAATCCCCCACCGTGGAGCTGTTCTGGAAAAAGTAGTAAATGACTTACTGGTTCTCTCTCCTAGTGGGCAGGGGAGCTGAGAGTAGAACGGCCTCCTTCTGAGCCCGGCGCTAGCTGGAGCCTCTCACTTTCCTATCGCTGCTCCAGGAACCAAGCATCTGCACTTGTATGCTCTTAACCTAATTTATGGTGGGAATTATATTTTGGCTTGTCAACTCTCAAGCCATAAAACAAAGTTTATTGGAATCACGTGCTCGTAAATAGCCATTCAGGTCCCATCTCTGCAGAACCATAAATAACCTTTGGCTTTAAACTTTTATTCACTAAATAAAGGTTCACTGCAACTGTTCCCTCACATTTAAATAGTTCCAAATATCCAGAATGCACAGGGGTCAGATTCATATCAATACCCCAGGCTTTTCAAATAGCATCTTTTCAGAGAAGTCCGTTTAAGTTGGGAGATAGTACTATTTGGAAAAGGCTGGTTGGTGGGCATGTCTTATGATTCTTTGGCTGCATTCGCTGTGAGTACCTTCAACTCCTTTATTTCAATCATTTTCTAGCTCTAGATGTGGTAAATAAATAAAGAGAAAAGTCAAAGGCCACTTTTTAACTTGCTTATACCAGAAATTATTTGAGATTTTGTTCAAGCTTCAATAGTAAAAAGGGTGTTTTGGAGAAGTTGGGTGGGCTTGGGGGTGGGTGGCAGCTGGAGTTAACACTTGGCTCTGTATTGTTGTGGATGGGCTCAGCAAAGTCTAAGGTAGTCACATGCCTAGAAGTTTCTATAATTTGCTTAGATCTGAAAGGAAAGCCTTTGCAAGTGACCAAACTGCTTAAAACAGCAAGACTTGGGGTTTGGTAAAGTGCGAAAGTAGAGAATAGCTCCATCGGAATCTTTGGCAACTAAAGCTCTAAAGAAGGTTATAAAACAATAAAACAGCCCTGGTGTGAAGGGGAGAGGGTGTGAGGAAGCAAATGAGGCTCTCAAGGAACCCAAGCCCAGGAAGTCAGATGTCCCCACTCCCCCAGTGCCCCAATCACAGGGCTCAGTCCGGGGCCCAAACCTGGATGGGTCATCTCCCCCCAACTCCTGAACTGCCACTCCCACCAGAGAGAGAGAGAGAGAGAGAGAGAGAGAGCCTAAGAGAGCTGGGGGGAGCATGCTCTCCTGCTGAGAAAGCCAAGAAAAGGAGTTGGGCCTGAGGGCTGCTCTACTGGAGAGTGTGACATTCTATGCTTGGGGGAGGTGGGGTGGGAAAGAGGCCCCCAGCTCCTAGCAGCAGAAGTAAATACAAAGAACTGATCACCAGCATCCTTCCATAGCCTTCCAGAGTGCCCCCAGTGTGAAAACATGTGTGATTTTTACAATTCTGATGAAAAGAATGGATGTTCTGTGTAGATTTGTAGAGCACATACACATATATAATTTCTAAGTCAAATTCAGTTGCAAAAGTTCTCATCAGCAAGTCCCATCAAGTGCATAAAAGAGATCCCTCTCTACAAAGATCACTTTGCATTCTAATTTCCACCCATTCTCCATG